CCCCCCCCCCCCCCCCCCCCGAGGGTTTCCAGCACAGATCCATACCAACCCACTGGTGCCTTGCAATGTGAAAAATCATAAAATAGTTTCAATAGAAATTCCCAGTCAGCTTGGATGAAGAATGCTGCAACAGAGACCTCATCACAGCTGCTCCCTGAGTGTCATTTATCCTTGGGCATCTTCCACCTTAGGGACTGGCTGCTTCTTTGGAAGGAGCTCTTTGCAACCAGTCCTGCTGCTGCCATGAAACAGGTCCAGCCAGGACCCATGCTGCCAGGCCTAATTATTTTATTCCTCACTTTTTGATTGATGTCTCTAATAAAACCCAGCAGAGTCAGCACATGCACGTCAGCAAGATCCTTCATCTCTGACCTCCTCCTGTGGATAGCTGTGTCCCTCAACAGCTTGCAATGTGGAGGCACTCTCATCCTGTTTCCTAGGACCCAGAGCAATGGGACCATGGTGCCACATTGGGACAGCAAAAGAAAGCAACCCCTGTAGTACAGAGCATGCTGTAGGGCAGGAGGTGTGTGAGGAGAACATTTAATCCCTGACCATGATCAGGTTGTGAATGCCCAAGATGGAGGGTTGCAGTGTCAAGGCTGGAGCACAGGATTGGGAGCCAGAGACTGGAGTTTCAAACAAGGCCCAGGGGCATCTTGCTGGCTCTGAGGATGATGGAATTAAGTATTGTTTTTCCATGTATGAAATGGGAAAAAGAAAGGTCACCTCCCAGATGCCTGCACTGAGGTTTTAAGATGACAGGTGCAGGGTAGTGAGATCATGGCCCATGTCTGTGCCCCCCACACCGGTGGAGGGATTGGGATCTTCCCAGGCCTGGGAGTACAGAAATGCCAGGAATGAACAGCAGTGCTGTGATGTTTAACCACATTCAGGAACCCCTACTCTATTGGCCTGGGCCATGGTGACTGGGCATCACAGCTGATCTTTCAGGTGCTTCCAGGGCCAAGCCATCCAGTCCTCACTCTCATAGAGATTGTTTGATCTCTTTTCCAGCCATTTAAACTAAACGGGGGGCTGATGACTGTGTGGTACTGCATGAGCAACAGAGGCTCCTTCTAATCCTGATCCTCAGAGCAGCACTCTGCTCAGTCCTGTTCTGTCCCAGTAGGGAAGTGACAGCCAGCAAGGGAGCAGGCCATGTAGGGACAGCCCTAAGACACTGAAAGGCCCCTGTTGCACTAGCAGCCATAGCATTGGTAGAGGTCTGATAGGAACATTTGCTCTGGGCCTCCCAGAGTTAACCCCCACCCTGGGACTGTGATTATATAATATCACCTGTCTGCTGAGGGCTATGCCTATGGCTTTGCTACCCTGGGATTCTCTCTCATCAAGGAGCTATCTTGGAACCAATGCACTGAGCCTGCTGTAAACCTGTGTCCTATGCACACCTGCAGCATTTGCCATTGAAGGATTCAGAGTAGTTGGCAAATATCAGTGCATTTAAGCATTGCAGCTTCCCTGTGAGGAATGAGACTATCCCCGTACTATAGGTGGGAAAACTGAGGTGTGGAAAAATGAGGAACTGGCTTAGACCATGTGGTGCATTAAATCAGCTCTGGGTTTGGAACCCAGTTGTTCTGATTCCCAGCCCCCTGGCCTGGATGCTCAACCAAAGGCTTTCAGGGGCTGGTGACTTGGGGTGGTCCCCCCTTGTTCCAGCTGGGGAAGGAGGGAGCGCTGAAATGAGCACAGTGAAATGCTGCGACTCAGAACACCCAAAGACTTGTCACTTGAGACGGAAGGAAAAAATACATCAGGCCTCTGCTTCGTCCCATCCATGCAAGGAGTCCCCACAGGCCTGTGCCATGTCTTGAGTGCAGTACCTCAGCATGGAGAGGCTCCAGCCAAAATTCAAACCTCATTGCACAATGGCGGCACATAGCAAGAGACCGTTACCATCTGGAGAAGGCTAGTCTGCAAGAACCAAGGAGAAGGTCATTCCAGGAGAGCAGTGTTTGTCCAAGCCAGAGAGCAAAGGAGGTGAGCTGGGTCCCTTAAACTATGGGGAGAGCACCCAAGGCTGCTCACAGTGTGTACTGCTCTCTCCCTGATACCAGAGCATCTTGGGATGCAGATTGCTGCAGGGGTCTGTCAGCCTGCTTGTTCTCTCCCACCTATCTCCTCCCCATTGCTGCAAGTTGCCCCAGTGTGGGAGAAGCAGGCTTAGGGAGCAGCACTGTGATTGACAATGGCACAGAACAAGCCACAGGCCAGAGTAGGTGACACGAACCAGCATACACAGGTGCCTATGCGAGTGGGTGCAATGTCACAGCGTGGGGAGAGAGACTGAAACATCTGAGACACCTAGAGCTTGGCACAGCCAGGTAATTGCTATCCCACTCTGAAGAAGAGCCTCTGTGGTTGAGCTGGGATAGGAGAGTCCGGCCTTGCTCTAGGACATCCCAGTAGGAGGAGGATGCAGCAGGAATTGCTTTGGGGATGGAGCCAGTGGCCAACTGAGTTTATCTCAGTGGGCAGGGCTGGTGCGTCAGCTGGTTTTTTCTGGGAATGTCTCCTCCAGCCCCCTGAGAGGGAATCTCTTTACCATGCTCACTGTGAGGGTGGGCACCTTTGTCACCTCAGCTCTGTCTGATTTGGCTTCCAGTAGGAGCTGGGGGAAGGTTTAGCTTCAAGCAAAGCAGGCCACAGTTTGTGGTCCTGCCTCCCAATTAGGCTGCCATTAGTGGACAACCACCTCTCCCTGCAGCAGCAAGAGCCCATGGGGGAACCTCTCACTGTGAGAGCCTCTTTGCCTCTACAGGACAATGAGAGCAGAAGGCAACTAACTCAGCTGCCACCATGTGAGGCCCAGGTCCTAGGCTGGAGAAGGCTGCACGTGCTTTTTGTATCCAGTGGTCTGGGGAAACAGCCCAGGAAAAGTGATGGCAGAGTCAGAGCATGGAAGGTACAAGGGGGCATTTCACTGTGTGAGGGGAATCCAGGAGCACAGCTCCAACTTAACTTGGGGGACAGGGCATTTACTGCCATTGCATGCTGAAACAGCTTGGGGTCACACTGCCCTTGCAGGATGCCTGGCTCAGCCGCTATGGCCCTCATCTCCACAAGGACTTGCTCAGTGTGGGATTATAGCTAATGCCTTCCAGTGCTGCTCAGGCCTGAAAGGGAGGCCTGTGATGCTGACCAGTTCATCCAGAAAGAGTCCCTGCAAGGCAAGGATGCCTCTGTCCCCACCCTTGTGCAGGGCTCTCTGCACCTGTGGACTGAGGAATTGGGAGAATCTCTTGCTATGAAGGTAGGAATCCCAGGAACATCAGTAATCACACCTGATGTCTGTAAACAGTCCATGTTACTCTAGGATCTCAGGGCACTTTGCATGAAAAGCATTAGCCTCATTGTACAGACAGCATAACTGAGGCACAGGAAGAAGTGATTGACTGGAGGTCATTCAAATAGGTCAGTGGCAGAGCTGTGCTCAGGCTTTGTTGCTTCTAGCTCTCAGGCCCATATCCTGCCCACTGGACCCTGCTGCCTTCCGCTCCTATACATCTTCATCAGGAGACCTCTATGCATGTATACATTTGTCCCTGCAGCCAGCTCTGGGACCGCCCACACCAGCACAGGCTTCAGCTTGGTGAGCTTCCCAAGGAAGCAGCTAGGATATGGGTACAGGTAACTGAGCAGCCTAGATGAAAGCTTAATGCAGGCTTGTTTGTCTGGCTCTGGTCACTCTGGCCTGAGGATCCTAGGGGAGGATTACAGTGTGTTGCTCTTGAATCAGGACCATAGTGGTTTGAGTGGGACCAGGATTAGTCTGTGATTGAACTGCCATTGTTCTCTTAGGGATTTTTGTTCTCTATCCATCAGGAAGGGGACCTGGAGTCCCCACCCCGTAAGGATTTGGCTCTCAAAGCCAGGCATTTCAATGCGGCAGGGTCTCACAGCGGGTTCCCCATCCCTTTGAAATATGACTGTGAGCCTGCCCTGGGGCTTGGCAGCTGACAGGCAGGTGTAAGGGGCACAAGATGGCCCAGGGTGGGCTTGGGATTAAGTGGAAAGGCCTTTCACTGTGGGAAGAAAGCTCAGGCACAGCACAACAGTGAATTCTCAGATTTATTGCAATGCCAGTCAGACCACCGTGACACTGCAAGTGCTTCACCCTGTGTCCCAGTAAGTGAGCCCCACCATCACCGCCCTGCTCAAATGCTTCTCCAGCCTCTGCTCTTTCACAACTGCCACAGTCCTCCTCCAGTCTCAGGAGGTTGGAAACACCCTCCCATGTTCTGTTTCCAGTACTCTCAGTTCAGTGAACTCTTACAGCAGCTGGGATTGCCCCACCAGCTGCCAGAGTCAGTTCCCTGCCAGGTCTGTCCTCCATGATGTTGGCTGGCTTGATGGAGCTGGCCATCCTGGAGGCTTCTCTTCCTAGTAGCAAGGCTCAGGAGGCAGAGTGGGGTTCCCAAGGGAGATTAGTCTCCTGAGGCTGTTGGGTTTGGGTTGTACTCACTGCTGGCAGCTCAAGGAAACCCATCTCATGCAACAGGGCTATGTGGGCCCAAGCCAGGCTAGTCTGTGTGTGGGACCAATGACTGGTCTCCCAAGAAGCTGCAAGTCCCATGCAGGAGCCTCAGAGAACATCAGGATTTAAATGAGAAGGTGTCCATGAAAAGCATGAGAGGCAAGGCATCTCCGTGCTTGCCACAGTTCAGTCCAGGTAGCCCCCAAAGCAGTAGAGGTTCCAGCCAGCTGCTAGGATAGTGTTGGACTTGATGCGGGGGAATTGACTGGGCCTTGCTGTGCCTAGACATACCCTGTCAGGTTGTAGGAGTTGAACTCACTCTTATTAGTCTTTAGCATGTGGCTGATGGAGGGTCGGTGGCTCTTTAGTGTATGGCTGATGGAGGGCCGGTGGCTCTTTAGTGTATGGCTGATGGAGGGCCGGGGGCTCTTTAGTGTATGGCTGATGGAGGGCCGGGGGCTCTTTAGTGTATGGCTGATGGAGGGCCGGGGGCTTTTGGCAACTAGGGCTCTGGATTGGTAGATGCTTTGAAAGTCCAGTTGCTGGTTCCGGGGTGGGCAGGAGGCACAGAGTATGAAGCCACCAATGAGGGAGAACAAGGCAGACATGATGCCCAGGTACAATGCCTCCCCGATCTCATACTTCATGCTGTCAGGGATCAGGGGATTGTAGAAATCACGCAGCACCACATGGATATTCCACACAATGGGGATGAAACACAGTAGTCCCCCCAGGACAAAGATTACCCCACCTATCACTGCCACCCTGTCCTTGGCTGGGGAGCCCTGAGCAAAGATGGTACATCTCATCCCTACCACACTGATGATGCAGGCCAGGGTAGAAACAGCAGCAGAGGTCGCCATCATAGCCTGGGCAGCCTGGAGGTCAGAAGGCAGATCCAGTAGGGAGTTGTAGATATCACATTGGGTGATACCAGTACTTTGGACGGCGCACTCCATCCAAAGTCCCCTGGTGAAGCCCACCGCTGTCACGATGCTAGAGCCGATATAGGAGCTGTTCTTCCAGTTGGGCATGAGTGTGGCTGTCAAGGTGCCTATTGTCCCCAGTAACCCCAGGGTGTAACCCATGAGCTGCAGCCCAACCGAGACCATTTTCAGTCACTTGCTGCCTTGCTGTGTCTGAATGCTCCTGTCTGGTATTGCTGGCTTCCTTTCTCTTCACATCAAGTGCCTTTCTCGTCTTTCTGTCTTCCCATGTTGTGGAGAGCAGCTCAGTGGTATGGACTTCTCTCTTGTCATCTGCGTCTGAGCTTCTCCTTGCCCCTTGTATGCTAGCATTGAGTGGGTGTGTGTGGCGGGGGGGGGACCGAAGGGGAGGAGAAAGTACCTGGAAGACAGAAAATAATCCATATTGGATTAAATATTGACCAGAGACTGTTGAGAAAAGCCAAATGCCCTTTCACCTCTGCTATCTTTCTATATGGGCTTTAAAGAAAACACCCACATCAAGAATTCTGTCAAAGGAGCCAAGATGTCATCTCTTCCATTGTGGCATGGACACAGAGCAACACACCCACATCTTGGAAAGTGAGGATGAAGAGAAGATTCACCCTGTTTATCTCTGTTTACTTAGTGCCTGATTACTGCGTCATCTCCACACACTTGTTCACCCTGCTCTTTCCATCCTCCCTCAGGTGGGATAGGAGCAGTTGCCTGTGGCTCACAATGCCTCCTGCATGGATCCCAGTCTCTGCTTATCCTGTGCTTCAACATGGTGCCTTCCAGGAGTCTCCTCTCACCATCATTAATGCTGTGCATCTGCATACAGTGATGATCGTACCAAAGTGCTTGGCTAGTGAACAACTTGCTGACTATCTTTAGCCCAGATCAGGCCAGGCCAGTTTGTGTGAATACATGGAAGTGAGACTGCAATCCTCCTTGTGGGAGGTTCTTTCCTGGAGATTGGGTCCTGCTTGGAACAGCATGAACGAGAATGCTAGTATGCTGTCCCCATGAACCCTGCCATATCAGCTCAGTTGACATAATTACATGCTTGTCCCCTGATGCTGAAATATTCTATCGTCTAAACTGAGAGGATATCTCAGGTTGCTGTGTTCATCTCAACCTGGGTTTTTTATGCTGCTCCCAACCCCAAGCTGCATTTCTGAGTCTTCACTGGTGTCTGTGGTTGCTCAGCCCTGCCTCTCAGCACTGCAGTGCTTGATAGAGGCAGGACTGATCCTGCACCAGCAAGTCCTTCTGCTTTATTTGTAGGAATGGACCCAGTATTTCATCTGCCTCGCTGAGGACAGGCACTCCTGCTGCTCCTGAGACATGCAGCAGAGCTGAGCGTGGGCCTCTGAGCTTTTGAAAATGTTTCCCTGACACTTCACCACCTGCCTGCCTCAGCGCAGGTGAGTTCTCTTGCATTCTCTCCTGTTCCATATTATCTTTTAAGATCCTGCCACACCTGGTGACTTCTGTAAAAGGCCTGGGGAACCTCTTGCTGTATAGCTTGGAGTCCTGAATGTGAGGCAGTCCCAAGGGAGAACATTTGGTTTCCTGGGAATGAATATGACCTCCCTACCTGAGAGACCACATGTCCCTGCTTAAAACTTACAGTCATCTGAGACGGCACAGATGGGATCTTTCCATGATGCCTTGGGGAAATCACTTCTCTCCTGTAAAAATCCGGTGTCTTCAGAGTAAGTCCATCTGCTAAGATGAGATTTCCTCAGTGGAACTGAAGCCATGTTTGGGAGTTAGAAAGCTCACTGCAGCTATCAGTTCTTGGGCCACAGCATGCTCCAGCCCCCTGCTACCAGGCCTTGGGCTTCAAGGGAAGGAAAGGGGCTGTGTTGAGAAATCCTTCCTGACTGTTCCTTGGCAATGGAGCAGACACACGGAAGAGAGATTAGACAGGCCTGAAAGGGAAAGATGTCATCTTGGAATTAACCATTGCAAAGCTATTCCTGCTTCACTGGTTAAACTCCAGTTTCAGTGGCAGGGCAGATACCAGTCACACATCAGAGGTTGCTGTAATGTCTATTGGCACCCAGGACTCTACGACTGACTGTTGAATGAGTGAGGATCACTGACTGTACCAGATAGATAAGCTCCCCTCAGGCTGGCACTTCCCTGTTGTAGGTAGACCCTGGTTGCCAAGAGTGTGGGAGAGGCAGCCAAGTCAGTTGAGTGACTAAGGGAGGAAACAAGGAGCTGACCCCAGTTCTAGTCCAAGCTCTGCCACTGAGTTGCTCTGTGACCTTGAGCAAGCCACATAGCCCAGAAATTAATAGATTAATTTTCGGATTAATAGAAAATTTGGGACACCTGGGGGTTCATTTCTGGAGGGACTTCATGATATGACTCCCATGGATGGCAAAGGAGTCTCCAATATGGCAGTTAGTGGACAGTGAGAATCTTGGTCACGATCTCTCTTTCTCCATCTGCTTCTCTACCACAGAGATAACGCTGCCTGCTCCCTTAGCACTGTACTTTGTGTCAGTGGAAGCATACAGGACACTTCCTGTAACTGGCCAGGGAAGAGGGTGAACCGAGGGTATTTTTACATTTGACTGCTGGCTCCCAGAGCACCAAGTAAACAGAGATCAACAGGGTGAATCTTCTCTTCATCCTCACTTTCCAAGATGTGGGTGCGTTGCTCTGTGTCCATGCCACAATGGAAGAGATGACATCTTGGCTCCCTTGACAGAATTCTTGATGTGGGTGTTTTCTTTAAAGCCCATATAGAAAGATTGCAGAGGTGAAAGGGCATTTGGCTTTTCTCAATAGTAGTCTGGTGGGCTTTTGGAAGTTCAGCAGAGCAGAATTTGGGGTCCTGAGACCCCAATGAACATAACTATTGGCAGCATCCCCCTGGCTCTGTGCCACTGCCCGAACATAGCTCTGTGTAGCCACATGCCCCTGGTTCTGTGCCACTGCCCATTCAGACCTCTGCACTGCCACACACGCCTGGCTCCTTGTCAACTCAGGACCCCAATGTCACATTATCCACATGTGGCTGTGTACAGCCACCTGGTCCCAGACCCACACTGCTACCAAAATGTGGCCCCACAGACCTGGCCCAGGAGCAGCCCCTGAGATCTGGATGTGGCCCAGGGCCTGAGATGAGTTTGACACCCTTGCTCTATGTAAGTAGGGCTAGCTGGCCCCAAGGCCAGAGGGGGCAGGCTACCTAACATTTAGCAGTTCACCTGACATAAAGAAAAAAACAAACTCAGCATCAACCCATGCACCCATTTTGTAGCAGTGTAAGAGGAGAGGTCTATGGTGTTCACAGCCCTGCCCTCACCTGCTGCTTGAGGCTCTGGTTCCTTTATTCATTCCCTCTCTTTGGCCCTCAGTGATCTTTTCTTTCTCTATGCCCACTTTTCCCCTACAGTGTGAAGTCCATGATAGCCCAGCAGGCTGCCTTGTGGATGCACATCAGGGGTGTTGCTACAGGTCAGTACTTATCCTCCAGCCTGATTGCTTCCATCCTTCCCTGTGCTGCCTTGAGTTCCCACCAAAGCACACAGATGTGGCATGGCTAGGTGACTCTTTCTGTGGCAACCAATGGCAGACTTGGCCAGTAACAGCCCAAGAAAGAGTTAACAAGCCCCAAGAACCTCTTTTCCTCCCCAGTTCTGCATCCCATTTTGTTGCAGATTTCCCCAGTGTTTCTTTGTTAATCTGCTGTGTCAGCTCTTCCGCAGCCCAGCAGCCTATGGACTAACATTGGTCTTGGTTACTCTGGTTGTGTGCCATAGGAATGTCTAATGTACCTTTGGCTATGAAGTCTTGGCATGGCCCCGGTGATTCCCAGGTTCCCACAGCCTATTTTATGCCACAGGGTTGAGGCTGTCTCCTGATATAGCTACAAAGTAGCATCTAGGAGCTGAACACAAGTGTATTTTTACCTTTCAAACTCACATAGGCAGTGCCTGAATTTCCCATCTCTGAAAAGCAGCCCCCAAAAGTAAGAGGCTGAGAGCCAGCAGCAGCCTTTGCACGTGGGATACTGACATGGCACTCAGGTGATCAGGATAGGCCAGCTCAGGACAGGGAATGCAGAAACCAATAAGGGGAAATCTCAAAGGGGCAAACTGGCACATGGAGAAAAATGCACAAGGCCTTGGAGTACTTACAGGAGTAGGTGGGGAGCAGCATGAGTGGTGAACGGCTGAGCAGTACAGCAGAGATTGCACAGTGGGCATGAGTCAAGAAATTGCCACAAGAAGGTGCCTCTTGGCCCATGGAGAGCAGAGGGGGGATGAGATGGAGGGGGATCAGGGTTTGCTTATTGTTCAGCTGCAGCTTTGCAAAATCCATCTGCAAATCTTGCCAGGGTCAGAGGCTTACAGCAGATCCAAATAAACCCTTTCCTGCTCGTAACAAATTGAGGAGTTGGGTGCCTTTTTTGCCTATTTTCTATGAATTTGCCCCTTAGGTATTTGCTTGAACAGGGTTTCCTGCATGTCTTATGAGAGAAGGATGGACCCAGAAGATGGTCTGCAGCAAACAAATGCAAACTGAGGAGCACAACATCCTGCAGTGGTTGGAGTGTTGCCTTGGTGTTGGTCTGACTCTACCTACTCCCATAGCTCCTGGTGTGTTATGGATTCTGTGAGGTATGATGCAAATGGGGCAGAGAGAAGGTGAGACATCTGTCTGGAGAACACAGTATCATCTCTCCACCTGCAAGCAATGTATTGAGAAGGCAGCATGCTATAATCATCCCAAGGAGCATTTTGAAATTGAAGGTGTTGACGAGGCATGGAGGTGATGGCTTTCAAGTTGTCTTAGGTCAGTGCAGAAGCTTCATTCTACCTCTGCTATTCCTGTCCCCCTCCATACCCAACATCTAGTGGCACATCCTGAAGCACATAACTTTCCCTTGGAGGGCTGCCATCCAGGCATTGGCCAGATCCAGCTCTGCTTAGCTGAGGAGATCAAGCTACTCAGATCAAAGTCACCACTCTGTTGTCTTTGTGATGGTAGATATGGCATGGATTGGTCACAGTTCTGCAGTCAGATTGCAAGCATTCAACCCCATGGGGTGCATCTAGTGTGAGAAATCCAGACCAATCAGGCATGTAGAAAGTATGTGGGGATGGGGGATGAGGATGGGTGGAGGGGCTGATGGTGTGACCTTTCCCTGACACTCCATCACAAGCTCGTAAGTGTGCTGGTTCCAGAGGGATGGGGAGGTGACAGCCGAGCAGAGTGTGCCAACACTTTCCACTGGCTGAGGTGGCATCTATGTAAAGAGCAAGGGAG